TAGCGTCCAGGTGCCTTATCCCCCTCTTTTGGCTCCCTATCCCTTCTCATAGCATAGTGCCCATGTGCATTTTACTGTGCTCGAGAGTGAACCCAGAGCCTGAGCGTAGTGTATTCAGGAATCAATCACTTACCAGATCTCATTAAGTTGCTCAGGCTGGCCTTGAACTCACTATGTAGCAAATTTTTTGAACTCTGCTTCAGCCTCATGAATAGTTGACATTACAGTCCTGTGCCACTGAACAAGGGTATATGCCTTGTCTCAATTCATACATTTCATTTCTACCATCTGGACAATTCAGATCCCTGCCAGGGCCTTGGCTGATGTCTATGCATGGGGGAGTCCCTTTACCCACGAGGCCCAGATGTAGATCTGCATTTTTCCCACTAATTATCATGGCAAAAGTAATATGCTTGAAAATGCTGAGTAACATAGTATCAACATTTACTGACATTAAGATCACGAGGGATCAATGCATACTATTTGACCATGTGATATCTCCTTATTATAAAGGGATCACATTGCATTCCCTGTTGTTTCTTTCAATGTTTGTGTGTGTGTTTGTGTGTGTGTGTGTATTTGTGTGTGTGCGTGTGTGTGTGTGTGTGTGTGTATTTGTGTGTGTGTGTAGGAGAGGATGGACATACATATGTTTGTGTATGCATACCTATACATACATAGAACCCAGGGGAGGGTATTGAGAATTCTCTCCATTACTCTCTACCTTGTTCCTTTGAGGCAGAGTCTTTTCCTGAACCCCACATGTTTTTTGCTTTTTGGTTTTGCTTTTTTTTTTTTTTTTTCTGTTTTTGCTAGACTGGCAGCCAGCAAATCCCTGTGGTCTACCTGTCTCCCCACATCAATGCTGGGGTTGCCGGCATGCTTAGGAGTACACCTAGCTTTCACATGGCTGCTGGGTTCTGGCTTCCAGTTCTCATGCTTGTTCAACAAGCACTGTTAATCGCTGAGCCATTTCTCCAACACAAGTGTCTTCTATTGTTTGCGCCCTTAAATATATTAAGAATAATTTCTTACATTGATAACTATATTTCTAAATCAATGAATTTATCTCTAACAGCTCTAAATTAAGATATTTAATGACTGCATCTTTCCCCAGCAGGGCCTGCGCTACTCCTCTACTAAGGAACCTTTGCATAGGCTCCAACTTCTTGTTCAAAACACTTCTTCATTTAGCATCATTACACAATATGAAGTACTTGAAGATGTGGCATGAGGGACTCAGGATGATGCCATACATACACTTCAGGAGCAGGGTCACCCCTCTTAAGAAATGGTCATCTCTGCTTCCCGCCAAAGCTGTGAGGCTCAACTGAAACCCCATGAGTTCTTTATAAATGTCAAAGGTATGGCTTATCTTTATCAGAAATTGCTGACTCTTCCACAAGTGTCCAACACAAGGAGCTGGAATCTTCCTTTGAGATGTTTATATAAGTATTTCTCTTTAGAAGAACCAAACTTTGTGAGAAAAGCAACCAGCCTGTATCAGAGTAAACCACCAGCTATATGTTAAGTCTCCCCATCTCTTCTAAATGACAATGGCCAATGTTCAAGGGATGTGAGTCCCTCAAAGACTGGTTACCCAGTTCCCGGAGCTGATTTGTCATAATGACGACTCTCTCTTCCTTTCTTGATAGTCTCCTAGAAAGAGCACTTTAGATAACTCTGCTTGATTTAAAAAAAAAAAAAAAGAGCAGTTGTTTTGTTTTTTTTTTTTTTAATGGGAACTTTTATGTCAAGCACAGAAGCCACACTGACATCCCAAATGAAAACCACCCCATCACCCAGGAGGCACTCCATTTTGGATGAATTCTTGATTCACCTTCTATGAGTCTGAGTTCATGGATTTTTTTTTCTCTGCTATTGCTAAAGCAATACTATTAACATGTCAGAACAGCTTCCTGGAGCAAGAGTCTTAAGAGTGTTTTCAGTTCTTAATGAAAGGCACCAGACGTGATTCCAAACTCTGACTTGAATCACGCTTAATGCTATCTGTTAACTAGTGTGAAAAGAAGCAGCTCCGGTGTGCTAAAGTGGCTGCACTCTACAAGGAAAAGAATGTTCCAGGGCATGATATTCTATCAGGTTGATTATTTTCTGTCGCAGTTCAGGTTTTACACACACACACACACACACACACACACACACACACACACTTCAATCAAGGGGACATAACCCTACTTTAAAATGTCAAGATGGAGTTTGACTTTAAATCCCCATGAATGAAGAAAATGCACAGAGCCTCCTCTTGGACTCTTTTTAGCTACTTGACCATTTCTCCCTCTTCAGTGAAGACAGAAAGGGGAAGCAGGGCATGCATGACGTCTCAGTGCCAGATGTAGCTGGCCTTCCCATTACAGGGCTTGTTTTCTGTCCGAGGCAAGCAGGCACCTGCTACCTAGCAGGACCAGCCTGATCAGTGGTTCTGGCCAGGGAACGAGTGGGGGGCCTTGCAGAGAGATACCGAGATTGCTCTTGTTTCTTCCCTGCCTAATTTTATCCCTGTAGATGTTTCACTGTTTCCATGCACTTATTCATTTCTATCACCACCACTACCTCATTTTCTTCAGTTGTGTATTCAACCAAAGAAAACGAATAGGAAAAACAATTATGATAGTGAAGAAAAAATAGATTCAAAACTGCCATATGTGAGACCCTTGGGAGTCCCTGATTCATTTTCATTTTCATCATTTAGTTCTGAGCTTGGCCTGTTTCAGTAAATGTGTGAATAAGTCTGGTCCTGGGCTGGGTTTGCTTACAGCTTCAGAAAAAAAAAAAGAAAATGAACCAGCCTAAGTCTCATTGGTACTGTGATGGGTTCAAAGAAACGCGATTCCATGAGCAAGTGTTCTCAGCACATAGTGTGGCCTTTTATCACACAGAAATTCTTGAAACGGTAGGTCTGGTAGGTCTTTTTAGAACAATCAGTTAACCTGATTCTTCAGGCACAATCATCTATGTCTTTATTGGGCTTTCTTGGATTTGTATTTGTCTACACATCCCACATGTTTGAAATTCCAACTCCTAAAAATGTAATCAACTACACACACACACACACACGCACACACACACAAAATAGGATCCTCAAGGGATTCAGTTGGAAAAAAAATAGGTGCCAACAAAACTGCAGCAAAACTACTCATAAAAATTCAAAATTAGGGGAGTCATAATACTTTGGGGAAGACCCGCAAAGGCTACATATAGGAGCAGAGATGTAAGCTGAGTCTTAGGTTAGAAGTCTGTATGGGGATCCACAGGATGGACAGGAGGACAGAAGGCATGACATTTGCAGAAGACAAGTTGTCAGAGGTGAGGCAATAAGTTTGAGCAGGTAGATGGAGGTGACAGAGTCTAACCGCAAAGGGATGTTCATGGGAGAGCAGTGGCCAACGCTGGGGCTGGGGGTTAGAGAAGAGTTACTCCCGTGAAGAAAAGCTATGCCCACCCTGTGGGTCCTAGAAAGTCACTGGATATCTGGGAGCAAGAGTGGCATGGTGCAGGATGTCTTTGAAGATGATTAATGTGACACCAAGGGCTCACATGGGCACGAGGAGGTTTTTTCTAGTCCCGCCACGAGGTCTTACGGAGGCCATGCATCTTGGAGGAGGCTGTGATGATAAAAGGGGAGAAGTGGGTGACCACTGCCGGGCAGACTTGATTAAACTCTGGTGATTTCCTAGGGACCCTTTAAGAACTGCTTAGTGGGTAAAGCATGTCCTCTTCCTCCAAGGACTACCCCCATTGCCCTTGACAGCCGGATAATCTGTGTTTCCCTGGGAAGCCATGGGTAGCCCACGACTTAACATTGGTGAAAATTCATGAAGAGCAATGTGGAACAGTGGGCACTGTTCGAGAAGTAACCTCTCAGGCCACTGCCAAAGACACATGGCCTTCAATATGAAGAAACCACAAAGAGTGTTTGGAGCTTTGAAGGGAGCCTTGGGCAAGAAGCTACCGTCTCTATTTCTTTGTCTTTAAGAAGATGTGACCATTTGGAATGCGGTTGATTGCTCTGACACCAAGAAAAAGGAAGTTTGTTTGGATTAAGTATTATTTTTCTGCTCTCCTAATTACCTAGATTGTTCGGGGTCATTGTCCCTTCCACATCTGGACTGGAGGAATGACTCATCTGAGAGGCAGCCCCACACAGAAGTTTCTGTTCTCTGCAGGAGTTCTCTCCTCAGACTGTCTGTTAAACAGGGACTGAGCAAAGCAGCTGAACCCTTGTGCAAATTTCCACCATTTGAGAGTCTCAGAGTCACTGGGCCAGACCACAGGGACCTCAGGTGTCCTCCAAGGAGAAGAACCCTGTTTCTAAGAATGTTCTTTTCAACTTCCCCATTGCCTTCCATGACAGGCGTCAGCGGGGTGACAATTAGGTGTGGTGGGTGGGCATTTCTGTGGGCTGGCAGTCTATTTTAACTTCCAACTGTGGGAGTGAGCTTTAACTCTGTGCTAAAATTAGGGGAATCCAGCAACTCCTGTGGTTATTCCAATCAGCTCCCACTTATTGAGTAGCAGCAGCAGAGTTAAGTAATAATACGGTAACCTTGCCAAGACACAAATGAAATGCAGAGCGGTGCCCAGTTGGATCTGAAGTCACTTCCATGATCTAAGTGGAGAGCCAAACCAACAAAAGGACTGCTGGCCCTCTGGGGGCAGGGGAACCAGGGGCATGGAACGGAGTCCCTGGCAGCTCCTCTAATGCCAGGGAATAAACGAAGAGGGCAGAGACTGATTGGACTGGAAATTTAGACTTCACTAAAGAAATGCCAATAGCCCCAGTGGTCTGGAAGGCTTGTTTTAATCTGCCAGAGCAGCCCACCCCAGAGCTGGGGCATCCAATACAAACTTGGCCCCTCATGCTGGAGCCCGCAGTGTCATAATGGATGTAATAACCACCCAGGTGCGCAGCTTCCATGGCCGCACTGTGATGGATGCTGTTCTGACTGACTCCATTGTGAGAGGAAGATTTTCTCAACTGGGAGAGCCAGCGGCTGTGGTGCCAGCTCCCAGTTCAGACGAGGCCATCCTCGTGAGCAGATGACGAAAAGAAGTAGTTCTAGACGCTTCTAAAGAAGGTTCTGTGAGGGATGCACAGAACGCCAGTGTGTCGGCAACCCCTCCATCTTCCCTGATGGGCGGAGTTAGAGAAAGGAAGAATGAGGCGCCAGGAGACTGAGACGGCAAAGGCTGTGGGTAACGATGGGCCCATCACACTTTTGGATTGTGCAGGGTTTTTCTTCTCCCCTCCTTTCTTCTACCTATTGGCCATTTCCCTCTTGATGATTAAGCTGAGCTGAGTTCAGATCTAGCCTATACTAAAGGGGCACGGTTGACAGACGGAGAATCAGCGTAGGTTCCCAGGCGGCTCTCATAGAGGTCTACCCAACTCATGCACCATCCTCTACTCTATCTGTGTACTGGAAAAGAAGCGAGGGAGAAACAAAATAAAATTGATCCCTGGCTCTAATATGTCTCATGGTGTCAACTCCGGCTGCCCTTATAAGGGGGCTTTTTAAAATTCCAGTGCTAGACTCCACCCTCCAGAGTTAAATGTAATTGGTGTCATGAGGAGCTGAGGCATCCAGGCCTTCAAATCTCTGCCATGTGATGGCCGTAAGCATCAGGGCTGACACGCGCTAGCACAACCTCTCCTGCAAAGCTCAAGTAAGGGACCGCCACTAAAGGTCTGAGCAGAGCGGCTTGGGCAGGAAGCCAGCATGCCTAAGGTCACCTGACTGGTGCGGTCTCCTTTCCCAGGGTGGATTCACCTCCATGAGCTAACCAACTGGGAACCTACCTCGACCTTGGAAACTCGGGTCCTGTGCACCGCGTAGTCAAGCAGCTCACAACAGGACACAGCCAGCAGCTCCAAAGTTACCCGATTTTGAACTGATCTTGTTGCTACGTTCTTACTCCCGTGCTTGGTGTTTTAGCAAAAAGGCAGCAAGAATTTTACATACTATTGTTCAAAAATTTAAAAACTTGAGCAGCAGCTGTATTGGTAGTAGATTGATCCTGTGATGCTGCTGACAGCCAGAGTGGCCCTAAAGTCCAAAGCTGGGGTTCAGCAGTTCAGGGTGTATTTCCTCTGTCCCTCCAAACTCCCATCCTATTTCCCACTCTCTCTAGACTACCAACAGCTTTTGTACTCTGTACGAAGGAGCTAGGCCTTACTAAGTTACTGTGGGGCTTGTTTAAACAACCACCTTCACCACTGCATCCTGAAACCGAGACTATGAAGGAAAAAATGGGCAGCTTTTGTGCCAGGAATGAACATCCCCATTTGATAAATGTTTGTTGAAAGCCTGTTGCATGCCATGTCCTGACAGGTTCCAGAGGATTTCATGACGGGCAACGAGGACCATAGTTCTTTTCTCTTAGAAATTCTGGGGAAATAGTATATGGAACACGTGCTTTATAGTCAGAGTGCTTTAGGTGTGTGTGTGTGTGTGTGTGTGTGTGTGTGTGTGTGTGTGTGTGCGTGTGTGTGTGTGCGCGCGCGCTTATTACAGCTGTTAGCATGACGGGAGAGAGGATCATCCAACAACAGCTGTCTGTAAGTTGGAGAACCCGAGAACCCAGAAGCTCCTCAGTCTAAGAAACTGGAAGCTTCAGAACATGGGGACCAGTGATGTCGTCTCAGTCTTAGACCTGAGGGCCTGAAGCCCCCCTGGAGAGATGTTCAGATGAGTTGCATTGAAAAGCTGAAAAGGTGGGAGCTGGATGTCCTCGCATGATGGCCGCAGTGACTGATGGATTTGCTTGAGAGAAATGGAGCTTGCACACACTGCCCGACTTCCTCTTTTTCTGCTTTCTTCCACCCAGTCCCAGCCTATTGGATGATGCTGCTCCCTTTCAGCATGGGTCCTTCCCCTCCATTGTCTCTGGAATTACCCTTGTAGATGCACCCAAAAACGTGCACTGCTATTCTTGAAGGAATCTCTCAAGCCAATCAAGTTGGAAATCAAAATCATCCAGCATACATGCCAAGTCACAGCTGTCTGTTTGTGGAACTCAGGGGAAGTGTGCAGTGGCTTGAAAGTCTGATATAGGACTTGGCCTTCTATGAATGTCATGGAGGTTTCTCTTCGGGAGGCTTAATGGGAGATGGGAAGGGCAAGGAAGCATCAGTGACATTGTTTGGACCAGGAGAGTCATACAAACAGACAAGGCCCTTGGAGTAGATACTATGGGCAAACAGGGAGCACTATGCAGGAGAAACTGAAGGAAGAACTCTTAGGCGGGACCAAGAGCAAGTAGAGTGGGCAGAGGAAACAGTAGAGGCCTTGTGAAAACGCATTATGGCCCTTAGCATAGGAGAGAGCCATCAAGTGCTGTGTTTTTAACTGAGTGGGAATTTTAAATGTCAGAAATAGATTCCAGTAGAGGTTCCCTCCTGTGAACAATGAACACCATTATTCTACTTTGGGGCTATGAAACTCGGAAAGCCCAAGCTGAAGATGGAAAACGCCCCTTGAACTATCCCAAGGTCTCTAATGTTTCATTCATTTTATCTGCCCATCCTACAACTATTCCTGGGAGCCCACTATATTCTGAGTGCTGGACCAGATGAAGTTTGTACCTCTTCCCGGGTGAAGAGGGCAGAGGAAGGCCAACAAACACGCTGCAGATAGCCTGCCGAGCTGCTGATACCCACGGGGCCTCCTGGCACCCACCCCTTGTCAAGCTCATATCAGTTGGAGGGAAGTTGAGGAGCACGGAAAGAGACAGTGATGGGTAAAACAAAGACCTTGTTCTTGTGGCTGCCAGCCTGGGAAGAAGAGCTGGCTGACACATAACAAATAAACATAGATACACAAGTCACATTATTACAGATGATGGAGGAGGGAAAAAAAGGAAATGTGTAGTGAGAAAGAACCTGGTATTTTATAGACAGGAACGTGTCTGAGTAAGTGACATTTGAGCAGAAAGCACAGCAGGAAGCTATATGGAAGAACAGCTTCCAGGAAGCAGGTATGGCAAGTGGAAAGTCTCGGGGTGGAAACATGCTAGGTGTGTTGCGGAACACAAGGCAGGGTAGCTGCAGGGGGGAGTCGTCAGGGGTTAGGCAGTCAGGTGAGCTTACCTCGTGAGAGTGGAGCGCATGATGCCCGAAAATGAGGTCACAGTGTAGGTCGCAGGGAAGAGCTAGGATTTCATGCTGCACTAGGAAAGCCAGCGGCAGCAAAGCCTCGTCATACAGGATGGCTCCGGTTGGGTTGCATGCGGAGAGAGAAGAGACTGCGCCGAGAGAACTCTTTCGTGCTGAAAGAGAGGAGACTGTGCCAGACCAGGACTCTGGAGGGGTCGTGTAGAGCACTCTTTATGAGGAGTGACCTCAGTGAGGTCTTAAATGCTTAGAAACAGCAACCAGACAGACCTGTGCAAGAGACCATCTCCTGGCAGAGGAAATCACGCTGAAGTAGTGCTAAACAAAAAGAAAGAGTAGCTGGAACACGGTGTGAGAGGGAGGAAGGAATGGGCGGGGGACCAACAGGGAAAGAGGAAGTGAATAGGGCCAAACTAGAGGCCATTGGAGGCCTGAGGCAAGCATCTTGGGGTTTCTTCTAGGGCACCAGGTAGATTTGGTGGGGTTGCATATGGAGACGTGACATGACGCTTGTTTGAGTGAGTTTTACTCTGGTTGCAGGATTGGGGACAGGATAGAGCATGAGGGCAGTGAGGCCATAGGAAGCCCCTGCAGTGGCTGAAACCAAAGAGGACAGTAGCCTGGCTTGAATAGATCCAGGACCTGTTTGATGACAAACTGGCTAATTTGCATGTAGAAGTGAGAAAAACAAGAGTAAGGAATTAAGGATCTTCCTACTTCCATTTCTGATGTTAGTTCATTGATTGAGGGGGTTGATTGAAAACTGGGCCTATCTGGGCAGCTGTCTTGATGGAGAAATGTGGATGGAGGAAGGCCGTAGCTCAGCCCTGAGTGAGGGTTCACAGATGGGCAGATCTGAAAGGGGCAAATAAAGGAAGGGAAGCCTCGTGCCTCCCTGAGGAACAACAACATCACAGCCATTCTCCTTAGATGAGGGTCTCAGTGTTATATCTCTGGCTGTTCTGAAACTCTCTGTAGACCAGGCTTGCCTTGAACTCACAGACATCGGCCTGCCTCTGCCTTCTAAGTGCTGGGATTAAAGGCCATGCATCACCATGTCCAGCTTTCAAATGACTTCTTTATTTTTTAAGGTTTATTTTAATTTACTTAGATGTCTGTGTGTGAGTAGGTGCACACGCACACAGCTGCCTGGGAGGCCAGAAGAGGGCCTTAGAGTCCCTGGAGCTGGAATTACTGATGGCTGGGAGCTGTATGTTATAGGTTCTGGGATCCAAACTCAGGTCTGCTAGAGGAGCAGTAAATGATCCTTAGCCACTAAGCCATGTCTCCAGTCCCTGCTTCTCAACCAGTATGCACTTAAATCTACCCATGGATCTACAGTCACATACCTATGAATTTCAGAGTTCATATAAATGCGCACAGCCTCCAGAGCAATCAGGATGCAGGTCATTTCCATTGGCTAACACCACCATGTGACATCCGTGGGACCTCCTCGCAGTTACTCCAACTTAATCTTCATGAGGCATCAACATAAATCCAATCACATAGCTACAGAATCTTTTGAGACAGGATTCCTTCACTAGGAATACATTTCCAATGCCTCTGAGATTCATTCAAATTGTTGCTTTTAATCACTGAGTAAATGTTCCACTGAACGAATGTTCCATAGTTTGTTAATCCATTGAAGGACACCTGGGTTGTTTCTAGGTCTGGGCAATTATGAAGTGAGCCACTAAAAATATTTGTGTGGAGGCTTTTGTAAACAGCATAAATTTTCATTTCTCTGGAATATAATCTGGTGACTGGCATTATTGAATTATGCGATCATAAATGTTTCACTTCATCAGTGACTGCCAGACTTTTCCAGAGTGGCTCTTCTATGCTGCATCCCCACCTGCAGTGGATAAGAGTTCCCCTTGTTCTACATCTCTGCCAGCGTTTGGTTTTGCTGACATTTTGCTTCTGTTTAAGCCAATTTTTTAAAATGTGGACAATCAACTATAATTTTATAATTTAATTTAAAAAGTTCTTGGGTTTTCTGCCCTGGGCAGCAAGCAGAAAACAGGACATGGCCAGCAGGAGAAGATCCACATTTCTGCCTGGGGTTCTCCATCCTGGGTGG